CATTTTAGAGAGGAGGATGTGATGGGGGAATGTGTCAAAGGCCTTACAGAAGTCCAGATAGATATCTGTGGCTCTTCTCTCATCACTCCACCACAGAAGGCCCCTGGGTTAGCCAGGCAGGACTTGTCCTTGGTGAAGCTGTGCCGGCTGTTTCAAATCATCTCCTGTTCTCTGTGTGCCTTAGCACTGCTTACAGGAGGTCTTATCTGTCTTCCCAGGCATAGAAGTGAGCCCTCACCACCATCCACTCTCTCTGTGCTAGACTCTGAAATGTAGTTTGTGGTTCACAGCTGGAACCCACCAGCTTGTTCTTTGCATTGGTATAATCCTTTCTGTGAATCCTGCAGGATCCTACAATCACAGGGACTGGAAGATAGGAATTACTTCTGGGACAAAGCCTGGCTCCTGTGTGGTCATGGTCGTTCAGTTACAGTAGTGCCTGCAAGTGAGAATACATTCTGCCTCCCAGGCAAAACAGGCAGGATCTCCAAGTTGCAATCAGTCAATTACCACATACAAAAGAGTATTTGCCATATACTTGGGAGGAATTAAAAGAGCCACCCTTGAAAGCTTAATCAGTATTTAAGTTTTCATTTCCAATCTCATTATGGCTGCTGCTGCAGACAGACGGTGTGGAAGGGCTCCAGGCAGGTCCCACACACCTTCTGCACAATCTTGCCAAAATCTGAAGGCCTAGACCTGAGCTCAAAAAGGGCTCACACAGGCGGGATTGGGGGGGGAGGGGGTGAAGGAGGGCTGCTCAGGTTCCTGAGTCTCTTTTTGTGCAGCCTCCCTTCCCAGCAAGGGTTGTTACCACATCTCCTAGAGACCTCCATCTGAAGGGTGACTTGCTGGGAGCTGTAAGGGGCCACAGATTCTCTAGACAGGCAAGGTATGGCTGCATGTTACAGATTGCTCTACTGTAAAAAGAAAAAAAAAAAAATCCATTCCCCAAAACACCATTCCTCATTGTTGAGCTAACACACTCATTTAGACGAGAGACAGCAGCATGCTGAGAATGTCATTCCATTACAACACTGCCACCTCTTGTTATTCTGCTGGTTTAATTTTTGCCCAGCTCAAATCTGTGGTGGATCCCCCACCAACAGAAAGGCATAACTACTTTTGTTAAACTGAAACCTTACAAGGAAGAGCAACTGGCTGGATGCAATATAATGTACTTCTATACAAGTTGCAAAACAGTAGAATGCTTGAAAACATCCACATAGTCTATCAATCAGTGTTGATTAGTCTGTAACTATTTTCTCTGCTAACTCAGAGAATGAGGTACTGAAAGAAATGGGGTGGGGAAAGAGAGGGGAACAAAGCAAACCTACCAAAACAACAAGAAAACACCCCAGAATGTGAGAAGCAGCAAAATCCACCTCAGGAGAAAATGTCATGGGATTTGTCCACTACACGTGAAATACATTTTTTCCATGCAATGTTACCTCCAAACTCTGTGACTTCTGATGTGAACCTCAGTTTTCCTCTCAGTACTTGTGCAATCTGTTACCCCAGGGGCTGCCACCCATTGGCATACATTTTCCAAATACTGATTAAAGAGCAGAGCCTGCCTCCAGCAGGAACGCCAAGCCTGAGAATTATGTAGAGCCTCCTGAAGAAGACTTGGCTGCAGATAAGTAATGTAAGCTGATTGTCTTTAGGATTTAACCAGGTGGGAAGAGGTTTGCTCAAGAAGAAGGAGGATCACACTGTGCTAGTAGGTATGACAAGGGGAAAGGCCACACATGGCAAGGAAAAGAGACAAACTGGACAGACTGGCTGGGCCTCTTTGTCCAGCTGCTTGCTGTTCAACTAGTTCTTCATTGGGGTTTGACTACTGACACAGATGGGGGTTCTGCATGGATTCCTTGATTTCTAGCACTCTATTTCATTTTTATTTATTTCAGATAGCAGTTATATGTAACACTCTCTTGAATTAACACCTTTTTGCTAGACTTGTTCATGATGTCTCTCTATGTTTCAGTCTTCATGTGCAGAGTAGCTGAAAACAGGGGTAATGTAGTCAGCATTACTCCTGGGAGCTGCCAGAAGCCTCTGAAGCTGGTGAGTCACCCAGGCACACAGTACAGATCCCCTGGGCTGTAGGGCCAGCTGAAACTGCTGGTCAGCCCACCACACAGAAAGAAATAACCTGACAACCAGACTGTCAGGAGCAGTTTTCACAGCTCTTTCTAGCTGGAAGATCCAGTTAAAAGTTGGCAGGAGGCAAGTAGATTTACTGTAGTTGACTTCTAACACAATAGGACTTGAAGCAGCTGGGTTTTTCTACTTCATACTCAGTAAACACATTAATTCTGAACCACATTTATTGAATCCAGTCTTTCTTGCAACCCCCTCTGGTGTCTAAATCCAAGATGAGCCCTCAAAATCTGTGCTTCTTGTTTTGGACAGGTTGTATGCAGGGCCCACCTTGGAAACATTACTAAGGTGAAATCAGGAGATATTTTAAGTTTTTAAAAAATGTGTCATTTCATGTAATTGATTTCAAGTGAAAAATACACAAATGCCAAGTCTGTCCTGACTCCTACAGCATAAGTTTCTCTCCTGACCTATTTTTTTTAATCTCTACAATAGAAATGTCTGTAATGTCATGTAAGTGGTCATCTATAATCAGCACGATAAGAGCCCTCAGGTTAGTGTATACAATATTGCAGAGAGTATTGTCATAGTGTCAGTATCATGAAAGCAATCCCAAAATCCTGATTCCTTAAGTTAGGTTTTAGATTTATTACTTTGATCTTTAGGTAAGCCGCATTTATAATTTTGAGCACTATAATGTGGCAAAGCAAGAACTATAAAATCAACATATAAGCTGAATGTTTCTTGATATATTTTAGTCCAATATTTCATGTTTCTGTCCAACTCTATGTAAATACACCTTCAATAAATGCTGTATGTAAAGTCAATCTACACAAGCTGTTCACTGAGATGCTTCTGGTACTTGGGGCTGAAAACAGCCATTGATTGATAATAATCTAGTTTTACCTGTGAATGATCCTGAAGTAATAACATTGTACCATATAAGGCAGCAAAAGGGGATGTTTCAGATGAGGGAAGCATGGAAAAATTATCCTGTATGGGAAAATTAAATGCATCCAGAAACTGGTGCCAAGGAGTGAAACAGGTGGCTTAGTTTACATCCTGGATTTTAAATACAAGTTATACACAAAAAACCCACTCTGTTAGATACTATAAGTAAAAACCTGCATTTAAAGGATATAATTGTATGGACACTCACTGTCAGTGCTCTGTACCACAATAAATACTGACAGAACCATCAAACAGCCAGAGTATAAAAAATATAAGTCCTTGTTATTCTTTGTATGAGAACCAGAGATGCTACAAGAATTATTTCATTATTCATTGAGAAATTAAGGATTTCTACAATATCTCTGGGAAACACCATAAAAAACATCCACAAGCAGTTGCAAGTTTATGAAAGCTGGCACTTGGCTCCAGCCCTGCAAATGCACTATCACACCTTCCCCCAGAGGCGTTACTCACCCGCGGTCACAGAAGTTGCAGGCAGAGCTAGCTGGCACTCCTGACTGTTCTTGCCCTGGTCACAACATATCCATTTCTCTTTGTCAAGTCCTCCCTGAACAGTGTTCCTAACAAGTGCACCATGGCTACTGCTTTAATTTAACCCTCCTGACTCCCTCACAAGCACAGTGCCCCAGGCCTGTACTCCCTTGCCCGTGAATGGCAGACCTCAGTCTTGTGGCCCCACCTGTTAAAACAGCCTTCACACTCTGGGTGTTTTCAGATGCCCTTTATTTTGTCCTTCTCCAGGCTAAGAAGAGCTCAGTCAAGTCATGAAAAATAATAACTAATAACAACAATAAACCCCAGCAACTACAATACCGTCAATAACAATAGTAGTAATACTGATAGCAAAATGAGCAGTGGCGGGGTTCTTTTTGAAGTCAGCTCTTCTGTACCTGTTCAGTCAGAATTGCTTATGTGCTCTTACTGTTTAGAAGTAAACCAGATGCCTTACAGCAGAAACCTTTTTCTCACCCAGAAACGCTGGCTTTCTCATCTATATTTGTGCTCTCTTCAGCATGAAATATGAAATTCCTTTGTATGTCTTTCCCCGATGTCGGCTTTGGCCCATGTAACCCCTCATCTCCATGCTCATAGAATTAAGAGCTTGTTCTCACAGACACCCACAGATGAATTGTGACAAAGGAGAGGCAAGAAGTTCCTTCAGGCATCCATCATTTACTATAACACAAAGTAACATATGTGATCCAGTTCATGGTAGTTGCCTCCTGTACACTGCCTCCCCAGACAGGTCCCTGCAGCCGGGATACACCCTGTCCTCTCCCAAAGAAAAACCTGAGGTCCTAAGCCTCTGTATTTGTCACAGTCCCTCTGGGTGCCTGTGGGGAGGAAGCAGACGTCAGCTGAGCAGCACCAGAACACGTGAACCTTGGTTTCTAGTCCCGTCCTGACCTGGCTGATGGCCTGGCTAAAGCACACAGTAACACATGCAGTAGTTTTGGAGATACCCTTAGCCTCTCCCTCTGAGTGCTAGGGATTCCCATGTGTGAATTAAAACACCCAAAATAGTGTCATCAGAACACTGACTTTATTAATAGAGACAAACAAAGGATTAAAACACGTTATGAGTTTGTTGAAATACACAGTGTACCTGTGGAGGACAGACATATTTATATACATCAGTTCATTGTAGAAACATGAGTAGGATATCCCCAGGTAGTTTGCAACGAATCCAGACAGCTTTCTCTCCGTGGTGGCCCTGGTAAAGCAACCGATATCCCCCCAGCCCCACCCCAGCCAGGCTAGTGCCGGACCCCCTGCACAACATCAGTGTCTCATGCCGGACTTTCTACAGCACAGGGTGAGCACACCTGGATTTGGCCTGAGGCCAGCGGTGCGGGTGGACCCCACCGAAGGCTGCAGGCTGCTTGCTCTGGGGTGTGCCGAACTGGGTCCTCTCAGCGGGGAGGCGAGAGAGAGGGGCCAGAGTGCTTTGGGCACACCCGCATCCCGCCTGCCCCCGCTACCCCCAACCACCTCCGGGGAGTCCCCTGGCCCCGGCTCCTCCAGCCGGCAGTGGGTGGATGAGTTCCGCCCGAGGAAGGAGCCGAGCAGCCCGGGGCACGGCAGTACGGCTTCCCGGCACGGCTTGGCACTGCTCGGGTCTGCACTGGGACGGCACTGCAGCTCCCGGGACCGGCACCTCTACTCCCAAGGCACGGCCCGGGATTTTCCTGGACGGACAAAAGCAAGCCGGGGAGGAGGGGAGGGAGAGGACGGGGTGGGGCGGGGGAGAGAAAGAAAACAGCTCCACGGATGTCGGATGTCACGGACGGCGTTACACGGGCGACGCGGGGACTTCTCGCCGCGTTTCTCGGGCGGAGGAGCTGCGGGAAGTCGCCGGCACGTCGGGGCGGCCAGACGCCAGTGCCTGCACCCCCGGCGGCTTGTCCCGGGACGCCTCTGCTTACAGGCACTTGAGGAGGAAGGAATTGCACGACGTCCCCCGGGGGCAGTCGCAGAGCTTCCCGATGCGAGCCCCCTTCCTCACGGCGCACTGCTCCCCGGCGTCGCACTGCGGGCAGCGGCCGGCGGTGAGAGGGACCGCCACCAGCGGCCGCCCAGTTCTGTCCCGTCCCGTCGCGTCCCGTGCCGTCTAGCCTAGTCCCATTCTCTCCCGTGTCGTCCCGTCCAGTCTAGACCAAGTCCCTTCCCTTCCTTTCCCTTCCCTTCCTTTCCCTTCCCTTCCCTTTTTACCATTCCGTCCCGTCCCGCCTCGTTCTGCTCTGCCCCCTTCCCCTTCTTTTTTTTGCCTTCCCGGTCCCGTCCCGACCCGTCCCGCCGGGACACGCACCATGGGCACCTGCCCGAACTTCTTCTCGTAGTGCGGTCCCCTCTTGCTCTTGAGCTTCTCCAGCACCTCCTGCAGCGCCTCGATCTACCGAGAGACCACAGAGCCGCCGTCAGACCGAGCAGCAGCGCGGCCGCCACGGCGCACAGCGCCAGCGCCCGGCAGCTCTCCATGGTGCTGCCGCCCCGCCGCCGCCGCCGCCGCCGCCTTTATAGCGCCGTGCCCGCCCCGCCGTGCGTCAGCGCCCACCGCCGCCGCGCCCCGAGTGTCGGCACTCGCGGCTGGGCTCCGCGCCCCCACCTCCCCACCGCCCGTCCCTGACCCTCGGGCCAAACAGCGGATCCGTCTCTGAGGGCGGCCGAGGGGAAGGCGGCCACCCCAGCCGCACCCTGCCCGCACTCTCTGTGCTTGTCCCCAGTCGAGGGCTGTGAGCAGAGTGGGAAACTATTCCCTCGGTCCTGGGGGATGGCTGGGATGGTTGAGGGAGAGGGTGAACGTTGGACACACAGAGATGAAAGTGGAAGTTGGGCTTGTAGACTAGGGAGACTAAGCTTGGAAGTCAACACAGGGATCTGACAGGAGGGAGGGTAAGTACCCCGTGGGCTAAGGAAAAACACGATGTGCTAGAAGGAAGGAAGAATCATGTGGGAAGATTAGCCTAAAGGAGTCGGGGGAATAGGGGGGTGGTAGATAGTGGTGATGAGCAACAAGGCGATGAGGATGTGAATGCTTGAATAAGGACAGGTGGGAACCAAGAGTGTGGGGTGGCTGAGAGCAAGGTAAGAAGCAGCATCAAAAGGCCCAGGATAAAAGTAACTGCTAATATATCATGCAGAACTGTGAATGGTGCTTGAGGTCAAATATCATACCAGTGAGCAGGTCCTTGGGGAGCATTATACACGCTGTGTGTGGAATGAGGCCACCTCTTTTTGGAAAAGAAGAAGTGCAGCCACCAAAAGGACACCTAGCATCAGCAAACACGTGTCATTCAGACCTTCCCACTGATGTTTGGTTCTACCAGCCCAGTGGCCTCGTGTCCATGAACATTCTCACTAAAAAGATCATTGGCAGGTCAAACCTGCCCAGGGCAGTGGCAAGGGTAGCTCTTCCCATTAAGAAAAGCAGTGGTATGCCAAGAAGAGCATGCAAGATGAAGGACAACTCAGCCTTTCTCCAGCCTCCTCTGGGCCAAGGCTGGGCTAAAACAGGGTCACTGAGCAGCAGTTTGCTGGCATGAGACATTTGGCCACCTGGGTTGCTGGGACAAGGAGGCAACAAGCTGGGTCTGCCTATGAGGAGGTTTCACTTCAAGCTCATGGCTCTGAAGTGGCTACGAGGATGTTCCTGCCTGCAAGTCTACAGCAGCAGGAACTGGGCTGTGTCTCCTTAGGTGAAGGGAGGATCATCTGGAGAAGGAAGAAACTGGAGAACCTTGTTAACAAAACTCTCCCAGCTCGAGTTAACAAACTCTTAACAGCTGGTCATTTGTAGGGAAGCTAGGAAGGGGAGCTAGGAACAGCTTGAAAAGGCAATGCAATGTGAGCACAAACACAAAGTTGTTTAAAGAAAAATTAAACAGGTCCAGGCATGTATTTTTCCAAGCAGATGGGCATTTTTTCAAGGGAACAAAAGGGCTGTGGTTCAACAAGTAATTTTCAACAGCAGCATTTTGTTTGAGGTTCTGATCTCTCTAGCACATTGCTTGCCTCCAGTGCTGCGTGTTCACCTCTTGCTGTTACCTCCTCCCACACACTCCTATTGATCATCACATCCAGCAAAGGTCTCATTTGTAATTGCTGGTCAGAGTAGAGATCCTCGGTCTGCCTGCATGGATCCTCCAGTTTCATTTAGCCACAGGGAAGGTTAAGATTTCTGATGTCAGGCTGGTAGTAAACCACTCATAGCAAAGTCCAGGCTTTGTTCTCAGGCTGGAGTAAAACCACAACCACATGCAATACTGAAAATGATGGGTATGCCAAAACAAAGTTTCTTAGAACAGAGAAATAACCCAGGCTATGAAAAATGCAACACTTCATACAGAGAGGCAGATATATGGCCTATTCAACTTTAAAAGCAGCATCTGTGAGGTCTGACCAAAAATTCAAACCATATTTTATAGTATGAGGATTACTCATGCAGTGTTGAACACACCAGAGATGTTCAGAAAACATCACTGTTTTCCTTCCAACTTACACTTCCAGTAAAAAGCTGAGTTTAATGTTAGCTACTCCAGTAAAATTATTGTTGAATGTGGAGGCAGTTACAAATTTCTGTTTCCAAAGGTAATTTTGTCTGTCTGGCTACAGACATCCACAGAACTAAACAAGTTTCTGTGCCTGTTGCTGTCTGTATCACACTGTCTCTGCAGACATCACTGTCCCTTGTTCCTCATTCAGCCATTTTTGTACACTTTGTCTCCAGCACTAGGGGATAAAAAATCAGCAGGATTAACATCAGCAGGATAGCTGAATATTAAATAAGAGCATCAGAGGCTACCAGAGTGTCAGAGAAAAAGGTCAAGATATAAAACCAGAAAATCATAGTTTACAATTACAAAAAGAGAGGTTCTTTCCAACAGCATCAGTAACCAGTCCTAAGACAGCTGGCTATGGAATGAGGGGACCCTGTGGCACTTAAGCACTTGGCTCTGGGTAGTCCACATGAAATGTGATCAGACCTTGGGGATGGACGGTTCTGTTGTACTAAAGTACTAATTCAAGTTTCTCAAAGCTTACTTTCTCCATGCAAATGTTATTGCACACAAGGTACAAACAGAACACTACCAATGTGCATTAGCATCTGTACATCAAATGGATAATTTTGGAAGTCACACATGCTTTTCATAATCACACTCTTCCATCATGATCAATTAATTAAGTGTACTTCTAAAAGTGGGAAAGTAATGGGGGTTTATGTTGATGCTGGTGAGCAGTTCTGAGGCATTTATGTGTGTTCAGTTTTGGCTTGGCATAGACATAGAGCTGGACGGATTTTAGGACTACTAGACTGTAGAGATTAGTGTCAAGCATTTGAACAAGTGCTCTACTGAATCAGAGACACAAAAATGGACATCTGGCTTTAAGTGGATGCTTTAAGGCTTTGCAGAAAAGCAGCAGGCTATAACTGCCTTGTTAAATTGCCTTAATTTATAAACCACAGTTAAAAAATAATATACCATCATTGGTTTTTTGCATCAAGACTTTTTTTTTACTGAAGCCTTGAACAGTGAGGAAATTCTAAGATAAATCAGAGTTACTGTTGAAGTAATAAGAGTCCAGAGGCATACTTGAAAGACATCTATTTCAGCAGGAGATAGCAATTCATCTTGATGAGTAATAGATTGGAAGAAAGCCACTTAAATAAAAGATGGGTTCTCAGAAAAACAGTACATATACCAATGCCCACACAAACAATGAGGCTACAAACTCCCCAATAAACTAACCCCACAAGGGTGGAAGAGCAGTGGGAACAGGTCCCCAGTGGCTTCTCCATTTCTGCAGGCAGAGCTATCGCAGAGGCCATGCACTGTCCACATCTCATTTCAGCCCTGGAAGCAGGCTTGTAATGATTGTGTTCCAGAGGCTCTACCTTGATGTTTGTTGAACAAACTGCCACCAATTTTGTTTGAAGACCAAACTGTAGCTCCCAGGTTCCCAGCACCTTCCTAGCTGCCATTAAAATAAAAAGGAAAGTGGCAATGGGTACATTTTTATGATCCATCCTGAATTCACCACCTCAGCCCAGGTAATTTGAGAAGGAAACCCTTGGTTACTGCAACAGTCTCTAAGGTCATGAAAAGAAGCTTAGCCCATCTCATTCATGGTTTCCCATTTCCTTCTGTAGAGGTGTTTGAAAACACCATCAAGGTCACAGTATCGACTCTTTCAAACTCCTTGCAGTTAAGTGTTAACCTCTTAAAGAGACCATGTCTGTGACGGAGAAACAGAAGTAGGTAACCTCTTGGTCTCCCCTCTTCTCAGGGGCTGGAGGGAGGCACAAAGCTCAGAAGAGCTATGCCCAAGGCAAGACTAGATAGAAGCAAAGGTCCCCAGAAGTCTTGAGCACCTGGTGTGGCGTTCTGGTCCACCACAGTTTGTGTGCTTGATATAGCACAGCTATTTCCCTTATTCCTCAACCTTCATTTGAAAAATCAGTGCCATCCCAAGCGCCACCCTTTCCAGTAAGGAAACAGATTAGTGGTTGTGAGCTGCTTCAATACCACAGTGAAGAGGTTACATGTACCTGAGACAAGTAGGAAAAGTCTTGAAATGGTGACCCACAGCTTTTACATTGCCTCTGCCAGCACAAATATTATATCTTTACAGTGGCAGCTACCTTTAATCTAGGTTTATTTAAAATTTCCTTTCACTCCAAACGAGATCCTACTGGTAGCACAGTGCCAATGAAAACTGAAAATTACTGTTGTAATGGCATCCATGTTAAACCTAAAAAGGAGCTGCTACTGCAAAAGCATTAGAGTCCTGGTGGCAGACAAAATGTGAGAGCTCTGGGTGATTATTTAGAGACAGCATGAATAGATCTACCAACATCATCAAATGTAGTACAAGCATGGGGTCCAACTCCTCACTCCTGCTGACTCCACAGAAAACAATGTTTTTCAGCAAACCTCTGGGCAGGAAGACATCATCTCAGCAATCAGAACACCATCACACACAAGGGGCACTGCGTGCAGTCAGTGCCCCATTCAGAATGCAGCACAGTAACATGCAAAAGCTTTTCCAAAATAGCTGTGTAGTGGAGGAGTGATAACCACCTAGTGGCTTTCTGAACTGTTCTGCACTGAAGATCCTGCTTGGTAGCAACCGCTAACCAGATCATGCTGATAGGATGCTAAACCTGTAATGATTTATTTCATTTGTTTAACATGTTTCCAAAGCTAAGTATTATTAAGGCAGAACACTGTTATTTAATTAGACATGTGTTTTGACTTTACTTGCATACATATTCAGAACAAGAAATTTTGACAAGTGTAAAGAACTGTCTTTTCAGATGTAACAAGCAACAAGGAATTACCATTCCCAGAAGTATCTTTCCAAACATACCTGCTTCTGTCACCTGTATCCCAGGATTATCTGTTACTGTCTCCAACTTGGCATGATTTAATTACCAGTGCAACTGAAAGAATGTATTCAAAATAAAAATATTATTCAGA